CACATAAATATTTAAGCAGGGATAGTTTACCTTTTCTGGTGGGTGTATAATAAACAGTTTAACCATCATCTATATACAGGCTGTTTTGTTCTCCATCTAAAGAGACAATCACCTTTTATTCTTTTCCTTTTTTCCTTCGTTTCAGTGCTATTAGGAAACTATTCACAAGTGCAACCCTGAACAATACTATGCAGTAATTATGACTAAATGACAAAGAGATGTGAACAATTACTGAGCCCATTTTGAAACCCTACACTAATAAAGTCATTAGATGCTGCCCTTGCCATGAGCCTTCTAAAAGCTTCTGAAGTTACAAGAACACACGGCATTGTTCGTTAGGACAATTGCTGCTGGCAGAATGCAAACCTTGAGTTAAACCATGCTGCAAATTGATCTTGACATTCTGTTAAGACCGCCACTAAAATCAAAAGCGAAGGAGAAAAGGAGAAAATGAGCGGGTGGGATGTAATCATGGAACAGAAGGGTTCCCTCCTCACCTTCTTTCCTCTTCCTCCTCAAAACACACCATACAGAAAATGACAAACTCGCCTGGTGTTTGGGAGCTTGTATTTTTAAAACATTAATTAGACTTTTGACCTGTTTTTATTGACTGGCACTGTATTGCTATTAAAGTAAATTAAATAAAATATTGCAGAATACAATAGGAAAGGTTTTCACACTGTGCTGTGAAACCTGTTAAGGATTTAGTGCCTAAAGAACACGTCCAACAGTTTTGCAAGTAACATATACAGAATCTGCGGTCACTCCTGAAGAGGCAGTGAGAAATTAACTCCCCAGCTCTCACAGACCCCACACCTGCGATATATTTGCTGAAGGATCAAATGGGATTGGGGAGCTGGAGTAATATGGTCAACTGGTCTTCATCCAGGCATGCATCATTCAGTAGGTTAGTATTAAGGGTCAGCAACTGTGAATATGGCTAATTACTTGATGACGGAAATTGCAGGTGAAGACAACCTGCTGCTGAGAAGTGCTTTAGTGAATTAACTCTTTCCTAAGCTTAAGCAAAGTGAAAAACTATCGTTGGAACATTAAAACTAACAAGTACCTGTCATCAGAGCTGAGAAAAGTTGGCAACGCCTTGAATTAAAGTGCCCAAGGGCAATGATATCTAAAGCTAAAAAGCTACTACAGACATTCTAGTCACTGTCTTATGGTTTTGGCTTTCCTTTGCTTGGCAAACACTATGTATGTTGGAAATATGCTAGTATTATGCCTTATCTATGTTTGTAAATGTGGTGTGTACAAATATAAGGTATGTGTGCATGGGTAGGTATATATGTATATATCACTATATATCTTTCCTGGATCCAAATATATTAAATTAATGCATATTAATGAATCAACAAAACCAGTTAGAGATGTGTTTGCACAAACATACAGACAGAAATAACACAACCCTCATATACATGCACAGAATTATATTAGAACAATGGTATTTAATCAACTCTTTGAAGTCAAAAAATGCCAGAACTATAGCTGCTCATGTCTGGCACTCCTGCTTATCTATCCTCTTAACTTCTCTGGAACCCAAGGAATCTCTTAGCCCATGTGATGGCCCAATGCAGGTGGTGAGCTGCTGCAGCTGCATGCTTGGACCAAAAAGTAGGGCCAGAACAGCCAGCATCACTGCTGTCAAGCCTCACTACTATTGCCCTGACACCTCCTGCAAGTGTATTTCTGTTGTGTGAATCAGAATGTTAGCAATCTTCATAGCAAGCAGTGGAAAGGAAACCGATTTTTAAGCTCATGAGTCACCTCAAATTAAGTGGAATATAACAAGAGGGAAAAGATATATGTGTAGCTTTGGGGCTTTTTTCCTCCTTTGATCCTGAACAACAAATGATGAGAATATGCCAGTTACTCACTAAAGTCCAAACTACAGAGATAAAGCTTTCATGTAGGTTCCTTAACAGTATTATAAATACACCATGCTATTTTCCTAAATGAAGGCTAATAATTTTATTATTTTTCCCTTTATTATGATTTAATTATGATTAATAAAAAGATTCATAATCACAGAACTTACTCAAAGTAACTGCACCCTTTCCTGCCAACCTTATGTCAGAGGCAATGAAAAGCTGTGGAAGACAAAACAAAACCTCCTCCTAACTGTATTAACTAGAGTTCTTCTTCATTTTGACAAAGTAACAGTTCTGGGTGGCTGCAGTCAGAAATGTTTTAAAATCTGACTCCCAAAGTTGTAATCCTTATGCTCTTGCACTTCTCCTAACACCTGGTGCTCTCAGTGTTTTACTTCCAGGCTTACCTACAGGACTCTCTTCACTCTGTTGGAATGAGAGTTGAAGAATGACAGATTCCAGATGAAAAATGCCAGTCTACAGTAATGCAGGATTCAAAGCATGTTCCTATATTGGTGTCAGCTGAGAAACACATTAAAAATTGGGAAAAAGGACAAGATTTTGGAACTGGTTTTGTTCTACAGTGCTCAGGATGGACCCCCATTTCATTAATGAGAAAAATAGAAACAACTATCAGGACTGGTTTTGGAACAGAGTGACATCCATAGATTAGAACATTCAGAAGACTTTTTGGCTTATACGAGAAAACCTTTATTTCAGTTTGAATTTATTCGTGCCAGTACTGAAAACGTGTCTTTTACTACTTACATTGAGGCATCCCTTCTGACTGCTGGGAATCAAGTGGGCATGATTCCCCTGCAGTCCCACCCTGGCTGTTCCACTAATGCAATTGCAAGAGCACAAATGAGTTGCTCTTGGGCTACACCAGCATGCAAAAAAGCAGTTCCTTCTGTTGTTGCTGTTGTCTTCTCACACTCAAACACAAACCTACATGTAACTGTATTCACAGGAAGAGAGAAGAGAATGGGCTCCAAGACCACTGCCACTGTGTCACGTCACGAAGGGTAGTGATTAAACAGAGGGACTGAGTATTTATTTATGGGAATGCCCACAGTGCATTGGCACTTTCCAAAGAGAGAAGGAAGCATCATGCCCCCTCTGAAGAAATCACACTGTAAGGAGCAGGATGTGACACTAAACACAACGGAGAAATTACTCTAATTCCAGCCAGCATGCCTTGTTTACCCCTTCCTATTTTTTGACCTCACTGTTAATATGACAGTTTCTTTGTTGTTGTTAAGAGAAAGCAAAAAAATAAGGCTTAAAAACCCTATCGTCCTGCACAATCGGTGACTAAGTTCATTGAGAATAGCTATAAAGCCTCAAACAAGCCCTTTATTTTGTTTTTAAGAAGTGTCATAAGGAGTTAATAGGACACAGCTGTACAGGCTCTTTCTAACAAGCAGCTTCTGTCGCTTTGGTCACCACAGGTGTCTGTGTAACCTGCAAACTCTTATTACTAGTGTATCAAAGTTGTGCTACTTAATAGATTTCTTTAGTAAAACACAACAAAGCAATTACATGGCTGTTGATCGTCAGTCATAAAAAAACCCTTAAACACAGTTTTTCAAAAGAAACTACACTGCAATTTTTTGTCATTGTAAAATAAAAGAAACTAGAGAATTAAATAGCAAAGCAGACAATAGAACAGCAGGTAGTCAACTGAACTTAGCCACTACAGATGGTTTAGAAATAGTGTTTCCTTCTACACCAACTTGTGGGATAAAAGAAAAGGAGGAGGCTCCTTACTGCCCATGAATGGCAATACCAAAAAGACTTAAGCAACTTTCCAGTCTATGTATTTGGTCCCATGAAAGAACCTACATGTTTCTTTTTCCTCTCTTACTTTTTTCTTTTTTTTAGAAACTTTTAATCTGTTTTTGCAAGTGCTTTTTTCCATAATCTTTTACTCTTCTCTAGAATAACTCAAAGTAAAACATTGCTGCTGATCCTTCCAATGACAAAATGCAGAAGGTCGAGTGAGGAATTCCTGAGAAACACAAGTGTCATTTTAAAACTGCATTAGAAAAAGAGTTCTGTTCTCCAACCTCACTTTCAGTAAAGAAATATTAAGTATAATTTACATATTTAAGTACAGGAATACCTAAATGCTCTGTTCTAGTAATCCACAAGAGAATGAAACATAAATGTATAATTTTTAAGTGTTCAATAATCACTGGAATTGTACAAAGAAGTGGCAACCTTATCCCAGCCCAAATGACTGTTGCATCTTTTGGTCAAAAGTTAGAATAACTCTTATTATAGTTATATACACAAGACATTACCCTGGCTAGACATTATCCAGTCACCTTCTGGCTAAATAAAGGTAATGAAATAACAAACAAGTCTGATTTCCAAATGTAATAAGAATAATCATAAAATCATTATTTTTGATATATTATGATCAGCTACTAAATAATTAAAGAAAGAGGTCTTAGTATAAGAATAAGAAAATTTGTTGGTAACACAAAAGATGTAGAAGGTGGAATCAACAGTTTTAATTTCTTTACTCATTAGCAAAATGATGGCCTCTCTATGACTTAGGATAGCTTTTATTACATTGAAACCTTTATTATATCACAACCTAAATAACTGAACATTATCAAAGGAATGTTCTGTAAGAAAACTGTAGCTCAATAAAGTTCATCTGAATTACAAGCTTTTAATTTTTTGTATAATCCGTTTTTAATACTAACTTATCACATGAACGTTATTTTTGAAGTAAGATTTTCATTAACAACAATAGCTCTTATCCCAGAAGTTCTCCTGCAGTTACACACAACTAGTGTCATATATTATGGCACTGCAATGCAAAACTGTGAAGACACATTCCCAGAACTCTGTTTGAAAATAATCTCAAAAGAGAAGGAAGTAATTTCTTCAATTATTTTTCCTGTACAAGAAATCACTTTGCAATGAAAACAGGGCCAGTCCAATTCTAAGTGGACATCAGCCTGCACAGCTTCATTGATCGGCTGAGAACGAGCTTGAAGGTTTTAGTCCAAATAGATACTAAGCAACAAAAGATTTGACAGCTAGAGATAAGGATTTTCCTTGAGAAAAAAGCTGCCCCACTCACAGTCCAAAGTGTCTTACCTTGCTCTGTTTGCTTCTTTTGTCATGTCCCATGCCCAGGTTATGAAGTTCTGACTCAGGTAGGAGACAATAGATTCAGCGCAAAGCATTTGTGAGCAGAAGACGTTGGTTAGTACACTTTCATCATGGTGGAGGTAGATAGCAAGAAGCTTTCTCTGGAAAAGACATGAGAAGAGATCAGTGAAAGCTTCCTCAGGCTGCTTAGCATTTTAAAATTGCTGCTGTGGATGTGCACATTAGTATACCCAATGGGGTTTATCCAGGGTGACAAGTATTCAACGTGCACACACGGGAAAAAAACACCAGCAGATTTCAAGTCAAATGGGCCATCCCTCCACATCTGTAAATATTCTCAATGCTTCCTAATATTTTCTTTCAGGTACCAAAAGATAATATATTATATGCTTACAAGACAAAAACGACTGAATGAAAAACAAAAACTCATCTTAAGAAAAGAGTGAACTTTTTCGGTTGGCTGCCCAATAAAGATAACATTTGGAACAATTCCCTGAGCAAGGAACCCACCTCTTGATAGAACAGCATCTACGACACAAAACAATTATCAACAACCTGAAAAAATGACAGTGTCTTGTTATCACCACCTCTGTAGCCAAATAAAGAGGCAAACGAGTAATAACACAGCTGCCTACAGACCCAAAACCTGCAACGCAGCTCTCTATCCAGCCATAAGACATGGGGAGGCCCACAGCACATTGGCCTCTCACCTACTTAGCTGAAACAGTGGTCAGGCATTGGAACAGGCTGCCCAGGGAAGTGGTGGGACCACCACTGCTGGAAGTGTTCAGAAGGTGTGTGCATGTGGCACCTGGGGATATGGTTTAGTGGTGAATGCAGTGGCACTGGGTTAATGGTTGGACTTGATGACCTTAAGACATCTTTACCAACCTTAACGATTGCATGACTAGATGTTGAGATGGTGTTTGTTTATGGCCTCTTGAAACAAAACATTCTGTGCCGTGTTCTTCTGAAACCCTATCCAGTAATATTTGAGCTTCACAGCCAGCAGCACAGAGCTGTGCTGTGTCCCCATGATAATCTCAGACCACCTTTCAGAAACTGAGTCTAGGTGTATGCAAATATGGAAAGCAGGCTGCAAAAATACAGGGACTCTATGACCTAGTTAAGGACCATGATCTTGTATCTGGTATTGGATGAATTATAAATATAATTCAGAAAATTCCAGCTTTCCATTGCCCCACACCCATATATATTACTTACTTTATTGTAAAATACTACATGAACATATTTGCTGAGATGATACAGTAAATGCTATTTTCAGAATTTTATTTAAACTAACTTCAAATCTCTTCACCAGAAGTAACACTGAAGCCAAGATATTGATGTGTATTGATACAGCAAGCCATGGGATGCAATTTTAAGACAAGCTGTCTTTGTGAAAAAACCTGCATGGCTCTCACGTCATATTCTGGCTTTGGATAAAATTTAATGACTGTTGATAAAAGGAAGAATACATTTGAACATTAGACTTTGGGAAAGGGATTAGTAATTTGCATCAATGTTTGTCTAATTTAATTTAAATGTTCTTCAGAACCACATACACATGTGCCAGGAAGGGCCATTAATAAGCCCAACATGCAGAGATCCATATAAGTGCAGCCAACAATGTTGACTGAAACTAAACTTGAAAATCCAGGGCACTGATGCACAATATCATGCAATAAAACAGCATTTCTGTGGTGATATTTAATTTAAAAAGAAGAAAGAGGCAGGGGAAGATCAGGCACTGTCTGTTTTTGAGGATCAGCCGTTCTGCATTTCAAAGCGTCGATCCCTGCAATATCCAGGTTACTGTGCTAGAATCTCGACTATTATATAGCAGTTGTAAGAGAGGGAGGGCAAAGATGTGTTTACTCAGTGATTAGGGCCTTAGAATAAGCCTCTAGCTCCTAGAGAGACAGCTCACCACTTATTCATTTGGACCAATTCACAAAGCCTAGAAAGATTAAACATCCATGCTGAGAAGACAAGCGAATGCAGACGGTGAAAAAGAAATAAAAATTCTTTAAAAACTCTGAGATGACTTCATTATTTTTTCCACAAGGAAACTTTAGGAAAGTGTTTAGTTAGAGAAAAACCCACATTGACCTCTCTCTAAACCCTTAATCTTTCCTTTGTGGTGGCACTGCTTTGTGGTAAGCGGATGGCTTTGCTCTCCTCTTTTCACTGGGAGCAGACAGAAAAAAAGGCTCTTGAGAAACACTTTTACTTCCAAAGAAACAACCCCATGAAACTGTTAAATATGAGATTCCATACAACAGAATGTTTCAAAATATGTACAGTTTTAGGCTTAAAGATTTAGGGACAAATTTTAGTAAACAGAACAGGCACAAACACAATGGAGGTTTACACTGAGCTACTTGCCAAGGGAATGTAATTTTTGTTGCATCAACAAATCTCACCATGCAAAGACTAAACTCCATCACATATAAAAAGACTGCACTTGTGTCTGGTAATTCTTCCAAACTGTTAAGGACAGGCATAGACACACTATGCTATGACAAATGCAAAGTGGTAGCAGGAGGAACTGAAGTGCTGAAACATGACTGTGATAAACCTTAGTGGAAGCCAGGGGTGTTTTTTCCGTGGAAAAATGTGTAATTGCAAAAGGCTCACAGCTTGGAGTTTGTTGTTGTTGCTGTTGTTGTGTGGGTTTCTTTTTTTGTTTGTTTATTTTGCTAACCCATGGCAGCACATATTTATAAGCAGGTTTTAGTTGTGTTTATTTCAAATCTTTGAAAAATCAGAGTAAATTCTAGGATTCTATGATGACTAATACTGGGAATTTTGCTGTTAATACTATTAAAATAGACTTACAAAACAGTCTTGAATTCCATAAAAGAAACCTACTAATGGATCACTAGATTGTTCTGTGTTAAGTTCTCAAAAAACATGACTCAGAGGTTATACATTTAGCATGAAATTTTAACTGAGAAAAAAAATCCGATGAGGAAGAACTTTTACTAGTCCCTACAAGGTATGTGATCCTAAAAAGGTTATATATACTAAATACCTGATGGACTTCCAAAGGCCTTAGGACTTTAGGAACTTAAGCCACCAAGGGATGTATTTTTCAGGGAATGTGCATGCTGAAGATCAGGCAGTCACACACCGGAATTTTTAGAAGGGGCCTGGATTTACAAACATGCTCAGGAGGGTAAGTCTCATCAATGTCACTAAGACTTAAGGTCCTAAAAGCTTGAACTCTAAGGTCCAGGTTTCATTTTACTTCAGAGGAAAAAGGGCCATGAGGTGTTAACTGTTTTTAGCATCTTGGCTATCTAATACCCTCAAAAATCCAGACCTCACCCACTATTTTTGCAACCTCTCTTGCATTCAAGACTGCATGAGTCAAGTCAGCCATGCTGCTGCTCCCTTGCACACACCCACCACTTGGGTTTACAGTGAAGTGCTGCAGACCTCTCCTGCCTGATTTGCATCTGTTGATGGAATATTCTTGGCACCTTGGAAGGAAACATGGGCTGTAGGTGGACACTGCCCTGCAGCAGGGCAGCCCCCTGAGGGCACAGTCCTCCCAGCTGTAGCCTGGCACCATGGAACCTCTGTGCCATGTCATCCAAAGTGACTGGTGCACCTAGCCAAGAGATCTAACACGCACATAGACTCCCACACATGAGACAAACACATTAAAGATCGTTCCTATACACCATTTTTGCATTTGGGAACTTCAGAGAAGTTAATGCACTTTGTACAGAATTAGAAGAAATGACAGTAAAGTTGTCACTGAGGCAAAAAGAAACATGAGGTGACTAAACTGATATCACTGGGTAATTGGATTTCCAAGCTTCTTGGCCAGTTCCTGGTACTGTGAATAACTTAGGTACCTCAGAAGAATATGAACTTGAATGGGAACAGCAATAGAGTCATAAGGGTCAGCAAACCCACAGACACAAATGGTTATTTTTGAATCTCAGGTTTACAAGTTCAAGTAATGACTGAGGCAAAAATGTTCATGATGTAACATCTGCTAGAGGCATGACTGTTCTTTCAAGCTGGTAGGCTAACAAATCAAGATCTTAATTTTTTCCTCCAGGTTTTATCCAGTGAGAGCTAATTCAAATGAACAAAGGGACACATTTGCACATCTTTAAGCCTTTGAAGTGCACAATCTGATCCACCTGTCTAAGGTGATCTGGGAGATCACAGGATCAGTCTTCTTGGACACAGCTATTCTATCACACACAATCCTTTTTTCTCTAAGCAGAATGCAAACCTGCTCTACACCAAGGTGATACACCTCTGAATTTACTCCACTTTGAAAATGGATCAAAGCAGGAATAGGGCAGATGGAGAAGGCTTGTCTGTGTATTACACAGAACAGAACAAAACCTGCTGAAGAGAAGCATTATTAAATTCCCCTGCACTAGTCAAAGGAAAGGATACAGACATCAAAACCAGAGAGACGAGAGGCACTAACCAGCCTCTAGCCTTGTAGAACAGGACCTGAACTAAACTGTACCCCACAGGCTCCAAGGGTGGGAGTGAGATGATCCCTGTAACGTTCTGATCCTGTTTTTTGTATTGTACATGGCATAAGAGAGCTCTAAACTAATTCCTAATTTCAAGTTTCAGTAGTTTTAGCTTTCAATAAAACATCTAGTCTCAAAAAACCATCAGTGATGAAGAATCCATGTGAACCATGGGAAAGTGTTCAAACAGCTAACCACTCTCCCAGGTAAAGGTGTGTTTTAAAGCTTGATTTAGTTTACTTTCATCTTCCAACTATTTGATCCTATTATACTGTTGTATCTCTATTTCAATCAATTGCACTTGTAGTGATATCTTACATAATGCAAATAGTATCCAGTAATTAACACCAAACTCAAATAAGATCTATAAATCACAAGCTTCGGAAGAGGAGATAATGTACAGTGTGGCAGACAATTAAAAAACTTCCATTATTTAATACCCAATAGAGAGGATGCTGAAGAGAGGCCCATGCCCAGGGGTAGCCTTTCAGATATGAGAGATGAAGTCATCCTTCACATATGAAGAATAAAGGGTGTGTAGGCACACAGTGAGACTACTAAGCACGTTTGTTGTAGCAAAAATTTCTAAACTATCATTATGCACAAGTTCAGGAATAATTTACAAATGATAAGACAGAATTGGTAACACACATCAGGCAAGACTGGAAAGAAAATGTAGGTGACCAACATGAAACTTAGATGGAGCATATGTACTGACACCTACCATAGAGTAGGTTTTTCACTCATCTTGGAAACCTAGAGTTATACTAATACACCTGTCCTCCAGTTTCAACCAGACCATGCAGATTAGTGTTCATGTTATTCATGTTTACTTAGAATCTACTAAGTGGTAATTTTCCATCTAGGATACCTCAACCACATGTGCATTTCCAAACGCACCTAGAACACACATCATTATCAAACCCCTTAAGAAGTGCAGGAGTAGCAACTTGAATTGAAAAGAGCCTGGAGGCAAAGCCAAAGGCTATACACCTTGACATCACTCTGCAGTATTTGAGGAATAAATGAGGGGAAAAGGGTGACAAAGACTAAACCAAAATCTGTTCTGCAATTTGGATTCAGAACAACCTCTCTTCTCTACTCAAGGGAGCATCTAAATTACAGACTTCAAATTTCTCTTCCAAGATAACTGGAGAGTTGTCTTGGAAGTGTTTCTATAATATACTCAAATAGAAATCAGATTAATTATCTCTATAAATCTTTCCTTCTGTAATAAGTTCAGTATAAACTTAATTAGCTTTAATAATAAGGGACACTTTCTGAGTTACACAGATAAAAATGATACTACAGAAAGCCCTGTATGAAGGAATATTCAGCTACTGCCATGAGAAAAAAAAAAAAAAGAAGAAAACCCCAGCTTTTATTTGAACATGCCAAATCATGGAAGGAGCATACTGTCTTCCAGGTATTCAGGAAATAAAGAACCCATACATGAGAGGGATGGTGCTGCCACTAAATTGAACCTAAAAGACAGAATTCAAGGAGAAGAAAAACACGGTTCATTTTCAGCATGCAGGAATATATATTGAGGTGACAATACCAATCTGTGCTAAGAGAGATGTTTCACATCTTTATTAAAAGTCAGTGGACAGAAAGGTTGAGAGAGGAGCAGGAGGTGAGCTGACAGAGGTATATAAAGATAAGAGCTCCTGGAAAGGTAAAGCCAATGTCTTTATTCTTTCTCATAATAAAAGAGTAGCAACCACCTATAAAAATGAAAAGGCAAACAGGCTCCAATAAAAGGAAATACTTCACTATACATATATAGCTCAGTGAGATTCATATAGCAATTGAGATTCTGCATTAATAACAATACCACCCTAAGTTAGGATAAACCCCTAATGTCTCAGAACACATGACACCCACAAACTGCTTTCAGGTGCAAAGAACCCTCCCCCAAACATCTTGGTAAAGAATATTTCTTCCATAGCATCAGCAGTTCCTAAGGCAGTATAGCTACTTGAGCAAGAGTAAGCTCATTCTTCAGAAACTCCTGTAACAGAGATATGTTTCTTTCTAATTGACACAACAGGTAGAGGGGAAGACTTCGACAAAAACCAGCTAATTTGTTAATTTCATAAACATCTGTCTCTCTTTCACTTCCTGACCCAATTGAAAAAAATAATGAAAATATTTTATTGTTTTATATATACAATAAACCTTGGAAATGAACACACAATGCCCCTAAGCACCAGGCTGCAGGAGGCAGCTGGGGATTTCATTGCCAAGGACAGCAGGTGTTAAGGCAAAGCTCTCTATCTCAGGTATGGCATTTTTGTGCTAACAAGATATACAGGTTTTAAAGCAGAGCTACATTTGACCTCATCCCATCTCTCCTACCAAAAACTGGCACTTCTGTGGTGGCAGCTGCTCTAAAGGAAAAAAGATACTCATCATGTATGTTAGTCTTCACTGTCCAACGACTCAAACAGAGGTAGTAAACACCTCAACATTTTTACAAGCTATTTCTTTTTTAAGTGACATTTTCTTAAATAACTATGTATTACCATCCTTTCCAACACAGGGAAAGACATTGAGCTTTAACAGAACAGTATTTTTTTAAAAGAACTTTAACTCATATTCTGCATTCAAAACAGATGTTCTGACATAAGTTAAGTTTCTTAAAAACAACCCAAATTAAGGTATCTTAGAAAAAAAGCTTCAAGTTTACATGTAACGGGATTTTTTTTGGAGGGAAAATGTATCCACAACATCGACTTAAAACACAGTTGATGGCTGTCTCACTGAACCTGAACTGCAGAGTGCACCTTCTGCTCTGGACAGCGTTGAGAATTTGTCAAGAAAAGGCTAAGATCTCCGAGCACTCAAGCTGCCAAGTGCTCTCAGATTAAATCAGTTTGAAGCGGTTTTCATTAAGATGGATTGAGTGTGGCATCGTGAGAAACACTCTATCAAATGTAGTGTTTTACTTAGTGATTAAGTATATACCAGTTGATGAAGCTGCCCAAATCCTTCGTAATCCTACCACTCCAATAAACATTTAATGAGTATATAAGTTCAAAAAGCCTAGTAGAGGATTTAAACCTTCAATCTTGTTTTTATTTACTCTTGGAACTCAATTTCTCACTTCAAGTGAAGAATGCTGGTGCCTGAAGCTCATCTGTTGCCCTGGTAAAATTAAGTGCCCTCCATAGTATAAATGAGAAGACAAGACATACAGGTTGCAATTTCTCCTAAGCTGTTTTTATAATACTGGTATACATATTTAATTATTTTATGAAATGCAATTATAAAAATACAAAATAATGTAGCCCTTTCCTCAATTATGAATCCCACAAGGCAGTACTGAAAAAAATTGCTTTGTAACAGGAAAAAGACGTCAAAAAATGGCATGCAAACATTCTCATATCTTTGTTTAAAGTCAGAATGCTACAATAAAAATAAGGCCATTCCACAGGCTAGGTGCAAGGGAGAGCCTTCAAATATAAGGCAATATTCAGGAAAAAACCAACCAGTCCAAACAACACAAGCAAAAAAAGAATACTTTCCTAAATATATAAATAGATGACTTTATCCTGATGAAGATCTGGTCAGAATACAATGCAAAATACAGGAAATGTAAGGTGATATGAACTTCTGATGAGCTATGTAAGTAGTGTAAGAAGTACTTTGAGTACTAAACAAACCAAGCAACTGCACTGCATTAATATCAGACTCAGAGGTATAAAAATATGTATGAAAGTTCCTAACAGGTTTTCCTCCATTATTACAGATACACTGTCACCCTTTGCTGATGAAATGACACAAAGGCAAGCTCCCAACTCAAATGCTTTTCTTGTTGAATTCTAAACATGTATTTCAATTAATACTTTGCCACTGAATTACTATGTGTACATTTATGCTCTGAAATCTGCACAAAGACATGAGAACTTGGAGTGCTAAGTATGTGTTAACTTCAGCTATACAGTGTGGATTCCTAACACTGCACACTTCTCAGCACAGCCCCTAACATTACCTTCTGATATGAGTAACTACAGGAAGCCAAAACATTCTTCATTTTAAAATCAAACATCTATCAAGAAAACAAAAAGTAAATTTAAACAGCATGATTTTCTTGTTTGTGTTTCAGCTTTATCTGTGCTTAATTATGCAGGGTTTTGGGTTTCTCCTTAGTGAATCCAGTCACCAAAACTTAAATAAACTATCCCCATTCTAATTTTATTGAAATACTGATTTTAAAACTGTGCATGGAATAACAGAAACTTGAGATGCCTGCTTGGATGTACAGAAAATCTAAATAACCAAACCTCAGCACTGGAACTTACTTGGCAGATAAAGGCTGCACAAAGATTTAAAAAAGCACACTGTATTTCAGAGACTTTTCCATTTAAATTTACAATTTCATTAGCCATTCTTCAAAGGAGTTACCAACATGCAACACTGAACTTACCAACCACAAGACTCACAGGCAGTGTCATCTGGTGCTAGGACACCATTATTTCAGGAGGAAAAGAGAGGGGGGGAGGGGAAAAAAGGTAGCTTTGACAACTAAAGGACTCCAATAAAAATACAGCCTGAATGATTAGGAACCATGAGTTACTCGCTGTAATTTCACCAACCACTATAGTAAGTATTTCAATCACCTGATCGAGTATAACTCTTCCCAAACAATAAAACCAATGTAAATCCACCATGTAGTTTAGCTTTTCAAAAATAAAGATGAAACACTTAAGATGATTTCCATTCTCCCCTTATATTAGAAAATGTATCTTAAATACACACTTACATCTCTAGCTTTCCCATAGAAGGCTTCTTGAAAAGCAGCCTCTAACGATCCGATAAAATAAACAGGATGGCAGTCACCATATCTAGTTGAGAGAAAATGTTCAATTAATAAAGAATTATAAAACTAAGCAATTTCAATATTCTACCTCTTCACATGTTCTGTAAATATAGCACAATGGCTAAACCTTCAGAAGATGAAGTATTACACTTCCTAAGGACAGAAGGGAAGTATTTCGAAGCCGTTTGCCTCTCAACATTCAAAAGCTCCAAGTAACCAACTACAACTGCAGAAATTTCATCATGAAAACTTTTGGTTTACACGTGTAAACACCTTAAGTTCTCCACAATTTTTCAATCATAACTTTTCATAAATTTCCTCTCTTTATTATATTCTTACAGGTTACTTTTATTACGTTGTTAAAGGTTAACTGAAGGCTATTCTTGCATTACATGTTAACACATCTCATACACAAAAATGAACATTTCATCACAGAGGAATGAAAACAGAAGTCACATAAACTTTGCATGACTTTGCAGCTTCTACCTGTTCAATGAAACCTGGCAACTGTTGAACAGGGTGTGATTTGGTAGCATAAAGTTCTAAAAAATCAGCATTTCTCTGTGTTTTAAAAGTAGGTATTAACTAACCACTTCTTTATTGTGAAAACTCATATTGCAACTCTGTGCTTTTCAATATTCATCAGTTTCAGCTTTTCTGTTCCTGTATATCATCAAAAAATTATTATACATAATCAGAGGATTTATCATCCTTCTGAACCTTTACATCATTAACTAATGATACTAATTAGTGACAAAATAAATAAGGCAAGAATCTGTCACTCTAACTTGGACTGAGAAAGAATTTTCTTTCAGAAGCAGTTCTAACAAAGTCCAAATTAAAATAGATTAGGATGTCTAAATATGCTATTATCCCACTAGAAATTATGTACATTTGGTTTCTTTTTATTTTCATTATTTACTAAATTTAACTTAGTTTGTAACAAGAATGGCACAGTTAACAGAATAAGCTTACCTTGAAGAAAACTCTGCTGTAAATTGTAATAAGGCATCTCCTTCATTTTCAGCATTTTCTGGCACTTAAAAAGATGAAAAATATAAATTAAATGCAGCCTTATGGCAACAGGCTGTAACATGTAAACTCATTTGCCTCACAGATATTTCATGTTGCCTGTTTGAAGTGGTTACCAAGAGGCCACCCAAATTTCATGAAAGACTATTGACTATGAACTTTTGGAAAGATGTGAAATGTCTGAAGGGTCTCATGAATATATTCTGGTTTTCCAAACAGCAAAATCCTCGGGCCCAGTGTAATGTGATATATTACTTTTTCAGAGTTGACACTCTGGACTTACTTTAATACATCAAAATGAAAGGACTGGTTTGAAAGGTTTGACCCACTACATTGCTACTTACTCTTCCTTTCTTTTGTTTCTTTCAAACTTTCAATATATAATGTTCAAAGGTTTTCCATATTACTACATACATTTCCTGTCAAAAAAACTTCTAAAGTATTAACACTAATGCAAGCCTGAGGTAAATTAAAAGAAGTAGATAAGAATTGCATGTAGGAGGTTACTGACTGCTCCTGCTCAATCCTTTTCAAAATTCAATGGCAAATAATCACTGAGAATCTTGTTTAATGTAAATGACTAAAATATTAGCCACCAGAAGATGCTGAAGCTAGAATGTGTAATTTTCCAAGCAGGGAAGTGGCAATCCAGTTATCTACAGGCACATTTGGATAGGGATCATATTTTCTCCGAGTTTAATTATTATTCTTCAACTGTAAGCTAAAAACGTAAGGCGAAAAGACTTCCTCCATGGGAAGATGGTTTCACAGTGGCAAACTATGCCTGCAGTATTTTCATTTGCTATATCCATCAGACATGACACCCAAGCAATTCTAACACTCCTATCAAAAGATACTCTCCTGTCTCTTATTCTGCAGACTCATCATACCTCTCTGACTTCACTACTGCTGTACAATCTCCAGTGAACTGTAAATTGTCAACTCTTACTCATTGGCGATTTCCTCAAGGCAGATGATGCTACTCCAAACATTTCTCCATCATCAACTCCAAACTCTGTAGCATCTTCAAAGTCATCTCCATCACTATCACTAACCATATGAACATCAGTGCATTGCTATATAAAAACAAAACCCAAAATCCACCATCAGCTTCTACTACAGACATCATCTTCAGTGAAACACAAAACACATACACAGTGAAAAATACTTACACATTTCTATTAGAACATGATATACTGCATTTAATTTCACTATTTTATAGAGCATTATCAAACTGCTTTTCACAAATGAGACCTAATTTTTAACAGAAGTCTGGCTGACAGCAATATTATGTGACAAAATGCATTACTAAAGGATGAAGGAACCGCCTCTGTATACACACAGTTGAGCAAATTTTATCCAAAGTTCATGCTATTTCCCATCCAGTGGTACTACAGCTGGTGTAACTGCGTAAGAGAGAGTGAGAAAAGCCACACAACCTGTAAACAATTTTAGACACCCAGATACACTCTACTTCAGCAACACTTGCACGGTGGGGGACAGCCCTTGGAAAGGTACCTGCCTGTCATATTGCAGTCTCTAGGTTTAGCAGCCCTAATCATAAGCTGGCACACCAGACTACTGCATGTTGAATGACAGGTTGACTCATACCAATAGAAAGGAGAAAAATCAACATTTTCTTTCTAGGAGCTAAGATCTCATCTCCTACCATCAGATCTTTTGGATTTCATGCCCTCTGAAACAGAGAACAGCTCAGATAAAAACTCGGGTTTAACTATTCAGCATTAACTTTCTTCTAAATTAACTTCTTTTCAGGAACGACTATTCCAGCTCCAATGACCTAAAAGTCATGGTGATAGCACGCTCCAGAAAATCTACATGAACCCCTGAAGGTGCAACAAAGGGTGTTACAGAACGTGGGATTTCAGCTGTAGCATGCAAGAGATCATGAGAGGAGCAAAGAGCTCCAAACATGCAGGATGTCTCTCTACACATAAAATATGTCAAATAAAGAACATTTACTGAATGAAGTAGTCAACAAAAATTCTATAAGGTGAAAAAATAAAGCAGCAATGATAGATAGTTATGCTGGTAGATCCCAGGAGAAAACAACAGCCACCTATTTAAGCTTCTAAGTGGTTCAGGTCTAGCTGTAACAGCATTGCCTGACCATTCTCTAACTTAACAACTACCCAACAGCACATATCCAGGTTTGCATCCTGACCATACCTCATAGCTATCTCTTGCCAGCTCAGAGGAGCTGAACAGATTGAAACATACCCTTCTTGTGCAGCAACAGAAACCGTATGTGGTATAGTTCTCTAAACAAAATGGCAAGAAAATTATGTGGAAAATGGGAAACTGCTTATATTAAATTCATTTTGAGGCAGGACAAAGGTACTGGAAATTTTAACCCAAGCTACTAATAGTTAGAAACAACAAAACAGGAATTCATATAGTCTGAAATCACCTCTTTCTGCTAATGATAAAAATGTATGTTTCAACCTTCTGTTAAATTTGGAGTGTTTTTCCATGCTTGCTGTGATTTGCTTACTTTGTTTTTCCTCTTTTTCTTCAATGACTCATTTACCCAGTTCCTTACTTTGTCACAATTAAGTGTTACAGGAACTGCAATGGGATTGTTTTAAGATGTGATTCTACTAACATAGGTGTCAACCCTTCTGTTGGTGACCACTGCAAAATAAGCTTTCCCTGCTTCTTCCTAGAGTACACTGCTAAAATAAAGATGATGTTCTTACCTCCTCTGACTGTTCTCTCGTTTGTACAGGTGAAGATCTTCTTCCAACTGTAAGTCGATGGCAAGGAAAAGTCACTCCCGATACAGCTAGAGTCATCTACAAACAAAGCAATCAACATGGGTTAAACCCACAGTCTCAGTTGAAGGTGGGTTTTTTTTAAGGCTATTTTGAGATTCAAACTAAAGACTGCACTGCAGAAACTGAATTATTTAAACAAACAAAAAGGAGGCTGAAAAACAAAAATTATTCCTGACATAAAAATATTCAAGGGAACATCAACTGTTTTCCTGGTGTGTACACACAGAGTATCAAGACAAACTACATGGAACTGCAAACTCAAATTGCTTTGAATTGTTATTTTCTCCTAAAACTACTGAAGTTTGAAACATTACTTGTATGTGGCAACTTTTACAGTGCCATGCTTTGATGATGGAAATGTAAATTTTTTCTTGATAATCAAAAAGCAGATGATAAAGTGAGGATGGTAAGTACTGATACATCGAACTAAAATAGTTAAGTCACCTTTAAAAAATATTATTTTGAAAGAACAGTTTTCCAGCAGACTTTGCCATAGACACAATCACATTGGCAACTTAGAAAATACATTTCATCTCCTTCTTGGTCATTATAAATGTCAAGGGTGCATGACATATTTCTCATATGAACAAGGACACACAAACCAAACACTACTGGTCAAACTGCAGCCATCACATACAGGATAGATGCTCAGTAACCAGTGCCAACAGAAACAGCACTTTTGACTATTGTTGTATGCCTAAATCTCAATTTTTAAAAACTAACATGGCAACAAATGGAAAAAATCTAGAGTCATTTGAAAGACAAAATTATTAGATGCCTGCAAACGCACAACAGGAGTATGTGAACATCTGATCCTACACTGCTTTTAAAAATGCACTAATTTAATGACTAAAAAGGAGAGTTGACCACTGTCTGACCAGACCATCCTGTGCCACCCCTGCATTCTAAGCACCCTTCACACATTTTGTTATACAGCAGAGGTGTATGCCAAGCCCTCTGCCCTCGTCTGGAGACCACATCACTCCTAGTCAAAGGAAGTTGATGACCACAAGTAGAACCTTCAGAAGCACCTAAGCCCTATCTTGATAACACATGGACTGATTTTACAATGTCAATAGCAATGACTAAATATTTGATGTTGTACAATTCTTAGCAATGTGGAGCAAGATAGTTCTATCTGTATGCTTAAAATATTGTTTCCAGTGTTTCCCCCAGAAGACACAGAGAGAGAGCAGAAAAAGATTTACTAGATCCTATAAAACTTATGAGCATTTTTGCAAAGTGCAGAATGAAAGACTTACATTATATATTTCAGAAATAAAGCTTCCTCCTTAATTAGACTGTAAAAACATTAAGGAAAAAATACATTTCAATCATCCTCAACAAAAATCCAAGAATAAATCATAAGCCTTAAATTTCATTGACTGCCACGAGCACTGAAAATACCCCATTTATTTTTTACACATAATTCAGAATGACTTTATCACTTGTCTGCTAGAACTCCCAGAGATTTAATTTGCTGCAGGTTGAAGCAGGCTGATTAAGCAGGCTGGTTACCAAATGAATGTTAACCTGTCTGAACTAGCCTACTGTCACATTCTCATAGCAAGGTTAAACAGAAGTTTAGCTGTGCAAAAAGCCCAGCAATCGTCTCAAAGGAAGTGAGTTATAATACTCTGGAGCAAATGAAATATTAAAGACGACATACAGGTCAAGACCAATTACCTATGAAACTCCTGTGACAAGAGCATAAGAACTGCATTCTCCGTAATAATCCACCAGTTCAATTATTATTATTCTAAGCTTTTAACAATAAACAAACCCCAACTGTTATAAAACCTGTAGTTACCACACTATAAAAAATACTGGTAAAACACACACACACACACACACACACACACACACTAACCACACACAGACTACAGTTCCCTGTCTAACAGCATCAAATACCCTGACAGATGCCTGGAAAGGCTCCCAGTATCTTTTACATACACATTAAAGAGAGTGGTAAGATCAAGCAAGCAGTTATTGTGCTGCTTCATCACTTGGCCCAATCGCAGGGTGTTGCAATTCCAATTTGCAACCCTATATTATAGTGTCAAAGCGTCTCTCAAAGACAAGCTAACAGCAGAAGGGGTTCGACATCAGAGCATGTTTCATCCTACTCTCCAGACAGCTGCTGGAATGTTGGGGTTTTGTGCACATTTGTGTGAGAAATCACCCTCCCCTTTGGGATTCGGGGGTTTTTTTGAGAAGTTTTTTGCAAAGGGAAGGTTAGGAGAGATAGAAGCTCTGCCTTCATTTCAAAATAAACTAGTGGCATCGACAGAGTTCTAGAATAAAGTTATCGCCATTCTAAGAGAAGAGAGTCCTCTCACAAGAAAGGGTTTGCACCAGACAGTTTGACCTTTGTTTTGGAAATCATAAGAACACCAACAGTAAGCAAAAGATGACTTTCCAGGGAGCTGAGCCTGGTGCCATGGATAGCAAGCCTCAGCTCTTCCTAATATTTTGAACGCCGGCCAATTTACTGATGGGAGCACTTGCTCAACTGTCTCAGTGGCAAGAATCGCAGACCTCAGGCTGCTCTTGGAGGGGTTTTTCTTTCTAAATACTGCACCTACCTACTCCCAAACAGGGCTGCAGTACATCAGATACAGAAACCACTGTTTCAGCCACCTTCCCATGGGAATGGACAAAATCTTTACAGCAACTCCGTAACTGAAAACACTAGTTTGTAGCTTGAGCACCTGACTACACGTTCTCTAACTTATGAACTCATCTAATTGTGCAAAAATTCTAACGTCACTAACTTTTCAGAATTACTTCTTTTTTGCATTAAAATTTCCATTATGTGGGTCCCAGGGCTTGAATCTAAAGGCTTTCACACGCACACGAAGAGAGAGTGAAAGATGCATATGCAGGACTTGTGCACCGATGACAACCTAGATATAGGTTATGAAATAAATAATACATTACAGCAAATATAAATAAGGTTAGTCTATTTTTCTAGGCAGAGAATGTACACATGTGCAAATCAAATGGCCTCAAGAGATGAAAGGTGCATGAGGTGGGAAGGGAAACAGAATCAGAAATAGGCAAAATGACTTGCAAAAAGTAACTCTTGTCCAACACTGTGTATACACTGCTTGTGCTTGCTGAAAGTTTAAGTAGTCTCCTATTTGGCTTTCTATAGCTTTTTTTAAGGAGAAGGACAATAAAGTTGGAGACATCAAACATTCCAGGGAGAGTGGCAGCAGGAGAATCCTTTTAGGAGACAACAGATATATTGAATAGATTGCTACTGGTATGCAAAAAGGTATGACCTGGACTAAAAGTGTACAAAGGTTACTTGGAATAGATTTTAACTACTAAAATAAAGACTGCCACCAAATGTTACAATTTGGAGAGGAAAAAAACCTAGTCTGGTGCTCATTTGTGCTTTCCAACAGCAAGACACTGATTTTATTTGTAAATGCTCAGTGTAAGATAATTTGTATTTCAATTGCCAACATTAGTAATTGGGGGATAAAGTTAAGCAACATCTCTTCTGATCCAAACATGAAGGATTCTTCATCAAGAACCTTCCAGATTAACCCAGAAATATCTGCCAAACCTGGAATGAGACCAGGTGCTTTAAACAATAAATTAGTCTTCATGTTAGAAAATATCATTTTCATATAGAAATATCATTCAGAAATTTCTAAAAAGATGGGTTTTTTCCCCAATATTTCATGATACAAATATGCCTGCAGGAGGGAAAGAAATCATTGAGAGCATGTAATTCCAAAGTGCTGCCATCTCATGCTCAGAATAATAGGAAAAATTATAAATCCATAATCTCAGATTTGGAAACTTCTAGCAAGAGTTTGCTGGCAAAACTTAATTCCCAGTCTTTCAGAGTTCTGAAATTACCAAGGAAGCAGCAAATCCAATCTCTTATACTAGTCCAGAGATATTTAACCAAGATACCAAAGAGCTGAGAAATATAAACAGTAGTAGGAACATGAAGGAATGAGAGCAGCAAAGATCTCCAGCTGCAGATCTCACTCCACTGAGAAATGCAGATACAAAAATTAAAAGCTCAGTGTCCTGCATCAAGAAAGTAGTAATTGGACTAGACAAACTGGTCTTCCTCATGTTCAGCCTCACACTCATGGAGGAAAACACCGTCTCAAAAGATATGTGAATGGTAACTGCATCTAAGGAAGGAATTGAAGGCAAGCTCTAAAAGCTTTACAATGCCTTAGAGAATATAGCTGGACACACAAAGTGGCTATCTAAGGCAATAATCTGTAAAGAACTGGACCTTCTTCCTCATCCTCAATTACTGAGAGGTTGTGCTGTTCACAAGATACTTGTCATCAAGGGATCCTTTCTCTCTAAAAGCATCCTTTCCAACTCACCGGAGACATATTTTGCCATGGCAAAATAGTTTCTAATATCATTTTTTGGGCATACTCTAGAGTTCGCTTGCACTCAGAAATTCAAAGGTCAGACTATAAATCTTAGAAAGCATCAGAGAACACTAGATCCATAAGCAAAGGAGAAGATTCTATCAATGATGCCAGATTCCACTTGTTCACCCACAGCAAGTGAAGCAACAGGCATTATCTGACAATGGCAAACCTAAACAAACCCAAAAACCTTGCAGTGGGCAAACCTTCTGGATTTTTAATATATATTAAAAAGATCACAAAAAGAAGTACAATTTCTGTATAACCTGACTGCTATGAATCAGCTGAACTATTCAAGCAACTGCACTTCTAATACAGAATTACATTTGGCATTATCTGTTTCGAGAGAAAACTAAATGGGGAAATCTCACAGCGTGAGAGGTAAAGGAAAATAACCCATGTTCTCTGCCTTTAATACTCAGAGATAAGGTAAGCAAACAAGATTCTGGTGTACAAAATAAAAAGCATGTTTTCCAATACTTGACTCCTCTTCATAAATCTCCCATAAAAATCAGTCCTACTCAAGGTCAGCTTGTAGTATATCAGGCAAAAGGAAATCTTAATAACCTGCCCTCCAGTTCTAGCATCCTGTTAGCTAAA